TCTTTATAATACATCATAAGATATAATAATTAAAATTATTATTATTATTAAGAGATAAGGTCTTACTAGACATCCCAGGCTGGCCTCAAACTTGTGATCCCCCTGTCTCAGCCTCCTAAGTGTTTGGATTACAGGAATATGCATCGGCACTTGGTTCTTTAACTCATCTCTAGATTTCTTACAGTACCTAACGCAACGCAGGTACAATGTAGATCGTTGCACTGTATTGTTCAGAGACTCAAAAAGTCTATACAGTCAGTGCAGATGCAATTTTATTTTAGTGTTCTCAAGGTGCCAGAGATCGAGCCCAGTTCTTGAGCATGTCAAGTATGCCAACCCCAGAAACTATTTTTTCCAAAGGTTTAAAAACATATTTTAAAATATATATTTAATTTAATATATTTTTAATCAAAGGCTGATTGAATCAATGAACGTGGAACACACACACACACACACACACACACACACACACACACACACGGTCAGGATAGTAAAGTAGGAAGGTGGGTAATGGAAAGTTCTAGTTCTGGTGACCTTCAGCTGTGGGACTTGACCTGTGCAGCTCCATTCCTGGGTCATAAGGACTGGGGAAGAAGCCCTGACAGAAGTATAGATCAGTTGTGACATACATAGAAGCACAGAACAGGAGCTCAGGAAGCTGGATCCTCAGGCAGGTTACTGGCAGAGACAAGACTGGAGAGGACAGCTGGGCAAAGACACAGGGCTTTGGAGATGGTGGTTTCTTTGGGGGACTTGGAGACTACTGGGGAGGTGGTGAGCTGGGGGGCAGGTGAGGGCCTGGTTATGGCGGGCCCCCCCTCTCTCCCCACAGCAGAAAGCGTGCCTCAAGTCATTGCAGCTGAATTGGGTGAGCATGGCGAGTGTAGACATTATTTTAATCTTCCTCTTACAGAGTAATTGCTTTCTGTCTCCTGGTGTTCCTGAAGAGACTTCCCTCCCAGCGAGATGGCTTTCTAGGCTCCTCTCTCTGCCAGGAGACAAGACAGCTGGGCCAGCTCCATGCTGCATTAACACACTGCAAATGTGATTTCATGGCCTCAAATGAGATTAGGGCCAAAGGCTCTGCTCTCTGGTGGAGGCAGCAGGCAGCCTGGGCAGGAGTAGCCAGTGCTGAGCTGGAGGTCTGAGAGAGAGCCATGGCAGGCTCAGGCTGCCTGAATAAGCAGTTTCCTCTAATTGGAGCTCCTCAGACCTTCTGTTGTATCCTGGCTGCAGTGCCAACCTTTAGACTTATCCTGGGGTGGGTGCTCTGGGCTCTAACGCCCCACTAACCCCAGGTTGCCTATAGGCACTTCAGTAAGGGAGGGTGCTGTGATGAATGTGATGAATACAAATTCTTTAGCATGGCTTCAACATTCTCAACCTCCTCCTCCTCCTCCTCCCCTCCCCTCCTCCTCCTCCTCCTCCTCCTCCTCCTTTTCCTCCTTTCAACAGGTAACCCAGCCTAGGCTTAAGCATGCCGTGTAGCCTTGAACTTCATATCCTCCTTGGCTAAGTGGTGGGATCACAGGAATGTGCCACCGTGCCCAGTTTTATGCAGTGCTGGGGACAGAGTTGTGTATGCTAGGCGAACACTCTAGCAATTGAGCTACATTCCTAGCTCTAGTTCCCTTGTCTTTAAAATGAGAACTACAGGGCAGCGTGGTGGCACACACCTATAATCCCAGCATGCGGGAAGCAGAGGCCATACAAGCACCACAAGTTTAAGGCCGGCCTGGACTATATAGGGAGTTCTAGGCCAGCCAGGGCTACACAGCAAGGATTTGTCTCAAAACAACAACAATAAATACATAGGAACTAGAGAGAGGATTAATCTGTAAGAAGTGCATAGAACTATTCTGTGACATTCTAGGTATCCACTGAAGGTTAGTCATTCTGAGATCTGCAGATGCTCTCCACTCTTATGGGGAGAGAGGCACCAAGGGGTACCACACTAGAGAAACAAGTATCACTATCCCAGGCTAATGTAGAAGGGGGCGGGGAAGCGTTCAATACTAATGTATCTCCTCCCTCACCGAGCACCTACCTGATACAGACTTTGTGCTGGGCTGCCCCTGAGACCTAGCTTCCCCGGGCATGGTTCCTGCCCTTAAGGAAGGCAGACCCTGTCCTAGAGACGTAAATAGTGGGCCATGAGCTCTGGTGGGGATGTCTGTGGGTTGTGGGTCTGATACCATTATATAGGAAAGAAAGTGGGGTCAGGTTTCAGGGAAGATTTGGTGGTGGTTAACTGTCCATGATTTCAGCCGGGGAAGGACTGTCAGACAGATAGAGCAGTGTACATATGGTCCCGAAGGCTGAAGAGACCATTGCCTACTCAGGGGAGGCTGGAGTACAGCAGGTGGAGGGAGGAGAGGTGGACGGACATTCTTGGGGCATGCAGGCCAGGCTGGTGGAAGAGGTGGGGCTGAGAGGACCCAAAAGGATGCTGAAGATTGGTTGATCCACAAAAGCCTCCTTCTAAATAGACACCCTCCACCTTGGCAGGGGACCTACCACCTCTGCCCCTGCCTAATGGAAGGGAATAGAGGGTAGCTTCCTCGCTTACCCTTTATTCAATCACTTGTTAACGAGTTATCGATTCTTTTAAAAGAAAAATGTTCAAAAGCCACGCTGCATCTTTAGCACAGTGATTTATGAGTTGACGGTGGGACCTGAGCTGCCTTCGATGGGAGCTCTGGTTACTCAACACTGAGAAGAATCTTCCAATGGGGCAATCAATCAATGTGCCTGCTAAGCAGATGGAAGCAGAACCAGCCAATATGAGTACTACTCTCTGTGAGGTCACCCCTGTGTCTGCTGGAGGCAAAGCCAGGGCCATGGGCGCTCTCTATCACATAAACTTGTAGAAATGAGAGGGGAACCTTCTCTAGGCTGCCCAGCTCCTCCTAGCCCCCATTCTCTTGTCTAATACTCTCTGTCCCTCTACACGGAGTCAGTCAACGCAGCTGCTTAGCTGGTGAGAATACTGAGGCTACTAAGGTCAGAGTGGGCTAAAGGTGGGTCCCGCTGATTTCAAGACATCATGTGTTTTGTAGCTACAGTCTCTCCTGCTCACTTGCCAGTGCTTGGCCTAATTGTCCTGGGGACTAGAAGCCACTAGACCAAGGGGCCACAAGACACGGCCACAGAAGCTGTCACAGAGATGGCCTGGAACAAAGCGTGAACACACCAATTCAGCCCAGTTGCCATTTACTGGGGTTCCCCTTGCATACTGAGGGACTGAAGGGAGACGGAAGTAGTCTCTTAGACCCTCCACTACTAACTGTGGCCTAAATGGCCAATAGATCCTGTCATTGCAGCCTGCATCTACAGGGCTTGACCCCAACTGGACCAGGGCCACGTTAAGACTACCAGCCACAGCTCAGTGGTCCTGCGCCTGCCTGCTGGGGGACGGGGACAAACGATCTGTTAGTGTTGGGTACCAGCAGCCTCCTCCAGACGCCAGGCCACTCTGTTCGGATGAGCTTCCAAGACACACCAGCGTGCTCTTTTTGGATGCCACCATCTAGCTGGCGGTCCTGAGCCATCTGCCTGCCCTATTCAAAAGGTTAGGAAGGGCTGAGGAGTGGTTCCATAGGAGAGGGCTTACCTACCATGGCCTAGGTCAATTGCCCCATAGGAGAGGGCTTGCCTACCATGGCCTAGGTCAATTGCCCCATAGCAGAGGGCTTGCTACCATGGCCTAGGGTCAATGCCAGCACCAAACATTCACAACAAAAACAACCCACAGATAGTCGTGTCTGGTCTTAACGCTCTCCGTGTTTCCCTGATTTTGAAAGAGAAGTCAGGAGAATGCAACTCCTTCTCCCAAAGGGAAGGGAGAGCCTGCAGGACCTGCTGGCTGTGCTTACAGACTTCCCAGCCAGCAGGCCGGGATTCAAATCCCAGCTCCATCTTCAGAGCCAGGTGACCTTAGGCAGGTCTCTTTCCTCAGGGCATCTCCTCTTCATTTGACGAAGAGAGTGGTAACGGTTGTTTCCAAGGGTCATAATGTGAGGCTTAACTGAGCCAGTTATATAGCTGCTGGGAAGAGGCCCCAGTCAGTACGCGTCCATTAAATGCTGGGGTGTACAAAGGTGCCCGGGAGAGGATGATGACGGCGGTGATTGTAGGATGTCAAGTGTGAGCACAGACCTACACAAGGGACTCATAACAGCTGCCTCGGGTTTCAGTGGGACAAGAAGGGCGTTGTTAGATCAAGCAACCCTGTGACCCCAGGCTTGAAGGGCAAGAGTTGGGAACGTGAACTCAGCCCAAAGGGCAGCTTTCTGGGACAGCAGCCCGAGTGGCCTTGGGTGCGGGGATGAAGTTCCCCAGATCCCTGCAGGCACCTCAAGGAAGCCCAGCCCAACTAGAAGCCAGTGTGGTCATCGCCGAGGATCACCTACTGAGGCACGGAACAGTGGAAAAGGAAGAAAGGATCTGGGGTGCAAATGAGAGGCTCCTCAGTCTCAGCCAGAGGTGGGTTCTCTTATGGCATCTGGGCCTCACCCACCATCTAGGATGGCCAGCGAGTTCAGGGCCCACCACCCACCACTGTTTCCCAGTGCTGATTACAGATGCATGCAGCCGTGCCCTGATCTTTACATGGGTGCTAGGGATTTGAACTCAGGTCCTCAGGCTCACAAGGCAAGCACTTTGTCCACTGAGCCATCTCCCCAGCTGTGTTTATGGCTGGGCAGAAGGAAGATTCTAAATACCCAAAGAGGCTAGATGGCTACTGATTCAAGAGCAACGGAACTTTATGGCGACTTCTCTGAGGGCAGTGATAAGGTCTCCTAGGCTGTGCTAGGAACTACAAGGCACTGGGCCCACAGTGCCGTGGGCCAGTCACAGGCAGCAGGAACCGGAAAGCGGGAACTGGACACCAGGCAGTTCTGAGGAAAGAGAGGAGGGCTTTTGACTCCACCCTGCTACATTGCATCTGGGTGACTGATTCTGCCCTGTGATGTCATACAGTGTTGCCTAGGAAATGGGAATGGAAAACTCTGTACTTTCCCAGGACTGGGCAGAGCAAGGATCACCCCACTTCAGCCTCCTGAGGGTGCCAAGAATCAATTCCCTAACTCCCTGCTCAGCTGGCCATGGCCCAAATACCCCCAAGCACCTCCACCCACAAGATCTCTCACTTCTGAGGAAGATCCAGATTGCATACACCCACTCATCCTTTGCCTACCCGGTCCAGCCCCCAAAGCCAGTGTGTGGCACTCATGGGACCACACTGATGGGCAAAGACTCAAGGCACCTGGGCCAGCTGTCTGGCAGGGCCAACCGATGACTGAGTGATCACCTGCCAAGACCCAGTGCTGACCCGAACCCCCAAGATTGTTCAGTGAACACTCCTGCCCCCAAGAGGATGGGACGACAAAAGACAAAGGTAAGGCTGGGGCAGAGTTGTGGCCTCATCCTCTTTCTCTGATGCCGACCAAAGTGTCCCTTCCCTGGGCTTCAGTCCCTGCCGTAAAATGGGAGTGGTGGTCTGGATGCTCTGTCCTCTGAGGATGTCAGAGATGAAATGCAGGGTCTCGAAGGGTGACTTGGCCTGCCCGAGAGCCCACTGATGGTGCCCGTCAGCCACCATACCATCCTTGGTTGTGTGGCTCTCCCTTCTACTCTCGCCTCATCCTGGCCTTCACCTTGAACACAGAACTTGACCTTCTGCAAAGAAGCGGTTTGGGGAGGAGTCTGTTTGGGTTGCTGCTGTCTCCCCAGCCCTCAGAACAGTGCACAGGACAGATAGGAGCCCAATAAAGAGATGTGGAAGAACAGCAAAAAACCTGCCAGGAGGGGACCAGAGCCACAAAACGCCAACCATTCAACGTAAGGGCTCGCTTACCTCTCACCAGCCAGACCTGTGGCTGTGCCGTTTATCTGTAAGGACAGACCAGAGGCAATGGGCGCATGCTAGGGATGCCTGCCTTACAATATCATATATTCGTATATCCTTGATGTGTGTGCAGGTATGTGTGCATGAGTGTATGCATGCAGGCTAGAAGCAGACATCAAATGTCTTCATTTATCACCCCGCCCCTTGTATTTTTTGAGTCAGGGTCTCTCACTGAACCTGGAGCTCACTGAGTAGCTAGAGTGGCTGTCCATTGAGCTCCAGGGATCTAGGATGCCTTTCTATATCCCCCACCTCTAACCCTACCAGCACTGGGATCACAGAGTCAGGCTGCCATGTGCCTAGATTTTGTGTGGGTGCGTGGGTGCTGGGGATCTGAATTCTGCTCCACATGCTTGTTTTCAGTTTTTCTATATTTTTGCCCCTTTTTATTTTCTTATTGATTATTACTATATACCCAGTGTTCAGAACAATACCTGGCATATAGTAGGAGCTCAATAAAGTTGTCCTAGCAAGCGCTTTACCCACTGATCCATGCCCAGCCCCCTCATTTTAACTTCTTTTGCCATTCCTCGGCTCGAGACTTTTTTACTGGGGTAATATTTCCAAATTTCAGTGCACTTTGTTCTCTAGAAACATTCATTCTGTTTTACTTATGGAGCTTTCTCCCGTCATCTTTTTTTCTTTTCTTTTTCTTTTTTTCCCTTTGCCTTCTGATACAGGGTCTCACTGTGTGGCCCTAGCTGGCCCAGAACTCATATAGACCAGGCAAACCTTCAGATTTGTGGTGATCCTCCTCCCTCTGCCTCCTAAGTGATGGGATCCCAGGCAAGAGCTGCCGTGAGGCTTCTCTCCCTGTGCTGAAGACTGAATGCAAGGTTCTTGCGCAGGACAGGGAGGCTCTCTCCCTGCAAGCTATCTCCCCAGCCTGAATTTCTAAAAACTATAGTCAAACCTATCAGTTATCTTCCCTATGATTTCTGACATTTTAAGTATGTTTTGTGTGTGCTCGTGCGTGTGTGAATGCGTGCGTGCGTGCGTGCGTACGTGCGTGGCTAAGGATCCAGCCTCAGGCCTTGTACATGCTCAGTATGTGCTCTCCCACTGAGCAGCACCTTGGCCCTGGGTCACAGTGTAAAAAGGTGCTCCTGCATCAGGCACTCCAACTCCTTGCTATTTCCAGTCAGTCCTGAGGCTGCAAGCCCTATGGGCAGGCATAGTAACCCAGAAAACGTGTCTGCATGAAGAAGCATGAAAAGAGCGGAGAGGTCTCATATCCTGAGTCCTTTTCTTCTGTATAAAGGGGTTTTACCAGCTATCCTAGTACCCAGGCAAGGTCAGTCATCAAAACTAGAAGGATTGTGAAATACTGGGGATCTTTTTTCTTCTGTTTGTTTGGGGTTTTGTTGTTGTTGTTGTTGTTATTGGTGGTGGTGGTGTGTGTAGAGTTCAGAGGATGACTTTTAGAAACTGGCATTCTCCTACCTTGTTCTGAAGCAAGATCTCTCTTGTCGTTTCTGCCCATCCCACATGCAGGGTAATGAGTGACCTGTGAGTTTCTGGGCAGTTTTCTTGTCTCCATCCTCCATCTTGCCTCAGCAGTGCTAAGACTACAGATGCATGACACCTCCCCTGGCTTTTTATATGGGTTATAGGGGTCCGACTCAGGTTGTCAGGCTTATGCAGCAAGAATAACTTTTGCCTGCTAAGCCATCTCACCGGCCTGAGAGGTCATTTTTTTAAGCCCAACATTCACCAGAGTCTAATAATTTGCCCAAATGGCATATCAGGGTCACAAGACCCTCTCAGGCCAGCATCCCTCTTGAGGACCCAGCTCAGCCTCTTCAGCTGGTCTGCTTTCAGATGTGGACCCTTCTGGGAGAGAGATACAGGCTTCTTAGCTTTCCATGGCTCCCCAGATCACTGGAATAGCAGATAGGATAGAGTGACTCTCATTCATCCCTCTCCCTGGCAGAACCACCTGAAACCCACTGAAGCCCTGATTCGTCTGCTACTGGTCCCATTGCCTGCTCACACCCCTCTCCTTCCTCACACACCCAACACTGTCCTAAGCAATGAGCATTCTGGGACATCTGCTGGCTACTCCTGACCAGTGGAGGACAAGTGTACTTGCATGGATGGACAAGATGTTGGGATTAGCAGCTTCCAAGCCTTCCCAGGGCCTGAGTCCTGAGGGGTAGCTGAGGGAACTCGGCTTGGAAACCTGCAGACTTTGTGCTTACCACCAGCCCCTTGTCTGTGGTCTGTGAAACTGTATTCTGCTGATTTCTGTATCTTAACAGTGTTGCATGGGTGAGCGAGAGGGGGGCCTGAGAGACTATGATGAGCTTGGAGCTCTGCTCTCATGGAAAAAGATTCTCTGCCCAGGATCAGCATCTTTACCCACAATTCCCTCCATGTATGTATGTATGTATGTATGTATGTATGTATGTATGTATGTATGTAAAATTTCCTATTGCTCCACTCTTCAGTGTGACCAGGGGCAGAGATACTGGTCCTGATGCAAGGACACCATGAGGAAGGAATGAGGCAAAATGAAGACTGGCAGCCCTGGCTCATCTCATGTCCGCCCCCTACAGGCCATACCTTGGGTCCAGCCTCCCAGGCCCTAGGCCCAGCATGTCCATGGGGTCCATGCCTGCAGGCCTCACCAGGAGATGCCTGTCTAGCAGCTGGCCTCAAGCACACAAATGAAGCACAAGCAGCGCTTCTGTAAGCTGTGTTTCCTGGAAGGCTGTCCTGAGAGGCGGGCGTGGAGTAGATGGGGAAGGAAGACACCCGATCTCTGGTCCTGGCAGAGGCCTGGTGGCCTCCGGGGTTGCCAAGGACTCATAGAAGCCCTTAGACAACGGCCATGGGAAGGAGCCTTTACTTCTGTGGCCCCAGGGTGCCCGCCCATGGCAGGCTTGTGTCCTCACAGCCGCAAGGATGTTCATCTGGCAGCACAAAGGAAGTCACTCCCCAATCCTAGCCTGACTTCCCGGAACCTTAGACACACCAAGCCCTGGAAAAGCTGAATCGCAAATCATTCTAGACATTCCCACTGGTGTGCAGGGAGACAGGCTCTGAGCGGGAGCATCTCAGAAGGGACAAAGGTGTTGTGACCTGGGTCTCTTGGCTTGTCAGCTGATGTCACCCCTGTAGCAATCAGAACACAGGAAAGCAAGCTTGTGGGGTGGGGTGACCGCAGGGTGTAGCAGGGCACACAGTGGGAGCAGGACGCGCGGGAAGTCCTCTGACCTAGAGGAGTCTGTGAGTGCTCCCCCTCCCCCACCTAGCAAGGCTCCCCCACCCTTCCACCCACACTTTGCCATGCAGGGGGGCGGGCAGCTCTCATCAACACCTCTGCAGATGGTGACAGGCCCTGCTGGGTCCTGTGGGGGGAGGGAGCGGGTTCACTCCTCAGTCACAGGCAGAGGAGGCCTCTGTGGAACTGGAATGTCTAGGGCTGGGGAGCCCTGTTCTCACCTCCTAATGAGACAACTTGTGAGGCAGGGACCACAGCCTACAGCAAGCGAGGGGTGTGGTAGGGATGCGGCGGGGGGGGGGGGGGGGGGGGGGGGGGGGGGGGGGGGGGGGGGGCTTAGAGTCTTCTGGAAAGAGCTGCCCAGGCAAAGGGAATACCAGGACAAGGGCTGGGGAGCGGGGGGGGGGGGGGGGGGGGGGAGGCCCTGGGAATGAGTAAGGGGGTTGTTTGTGGCTCCTGCTGGGGTCACCCATGCAGTACCATGGCTCTGAGAATCTAATTAAGTGGCATTCATAAATGTTCCCAGGGTAAGCCATGCTGGGAGGCAGGAGGGTGGAGCAGAGTAGTGGTTCCTGCCTGGCCCCAGCCCTCAGTGTCCCGTGGGATGGGTGTGAGATGACACAGGTGACCTGAGGTGGAGGAAAGAAGAAAGGTGGCAGTCACTAGGACCTGAGGAGCAGGTGGCACTGAGGAGTTACCGACAGAGGCGCCTGCAGAAGCTTCTGGAGGGTCTGTGCTCACCAGCTAAGGTGGCCTGACTTCTGTTGCAGTAGGGGACACACCAAAGGCCAGGGAAGAAGCAAGGGAGACCCTGGGGGACACACAGTGTGTGAAACAGAGCTAGGGAGAAAATGGCTTCCTAGGCTACTGTTCCGTAGTTCAGGAAGCAGGGTGATGTTACAGAGAAGAAAAGGTACTGGGAGGAATAGACAGTCAGGCCCACCCAGCCTACAGCCCACAGGCTGTACTCGGCCTCCTGCAGCCAAGACTCTCTGTGAGCACAGTTCAACACAAAATCACAGACTTACTTAAAACATAAAGTTTGTATTTGACTGTATTTTATTTACTATTAGTGTGTATATGTATGTGTGTGTGTGTGTGTGTGTGTGTGTGCAAATCAGAAGAAAACTATTTTAGAAGTCAGTTTTCTCTTTCCACCATGGGTTTCTGGAATCCAGCTCAGGTCATCAGGCTTACACAGCAAAGGGTGAGCCAATTCACTGACCAATCATTTTGCAACAAGGTCTCATATAACCCAGGCTGGTCTCAAACTGGAGTAGCTGAAGATGACCTTGAACTTCTGATCCTTCTGGTCCTCCTGCCTTTACCTCTTAAGGGCTGGGATTATAAATGTGTACCACCCTCAGCGGTTTTTATGAAATTTCTTCCTGATTTTTGTTTTGCAATTAAATACATGGTTCCCTAGCCAAAATTACGATGTCAAAAAGCTTCCAAATGCCTGGTAGGGGTTATGAGTGATAGCAGAGAGAAACTTTCCATCAGAAGAGTCCACTCAGCCCTGGCTTTCCCCACAGGTTCCTGAAGAACCAGGGGACCCCCTGGATATCTCCCTGGACCCAGGTCCTGACACCAACTACCTGGCTCCCTATAATAAGGAGATTGTCACGGTCACTGTGCATGGAGCTACCAACCTTCCTGCCAGCAAGGACGGCTCTGAGCCGTGGCCCTATGTGGTGGTGTAAGTAGCTGTGGAAGCTGGGTAGGGGTGGGCTTGGGTCTGTGAACAGAAACCATCTGATGAACATTTGGAAACTGAGCTCCTGAAGGGACTGTGGTACCCAGAGATGTCAGGCTAAGGCTGTACAAATGAGAGCCCTCCTCTCTCCCCTGCTGTGTGGTAATGGCTGCCAGGGCTGAGCAGGGCCTGACCTCACCAGGGCAAGGCCCTCATCTGTAGTACCTGTGCTGGGCTCAGCATGGGGTGGGGATGGTCCGGGGAGATGTTATGAGCACAGATTTGAGTTTCAGTTTGTCTTAGGGGGAAAACATTGAACTAGGGACACATAGAAACAGAAACAGCCCTAAGAATGGGAATGGGCCAGTGAGCTGGAAACAAACATGGAAAAACTCAGCATGGGCTCACTACCTTCCTCTGGTCATTTACCTCTACCACCCATCACCTTATAGAGAACGGGCTTTTTTCCTGGGATGCTGCTTGTTACCTGAAGCCTGGCTGGGGAATGGCTTCCAGCCTTTCTCTGCCATCTGGCTCTTTGGCTACTTTCTGAAGTCCTTTCTTACTTTCCGGTCACAGAAAGACTTGGAGTCTGCCTCTCCTGACTTTCGGGGGTTCGAGAGGTTGTGCCGCTTGCAGCCACCCACTGTGGGTCCTTGCCTCTCTTCCTAGTTACTTCTGCCATGGAGTGGCCTGCCATGCTGTGCCTGCTGCCCCCACCTCATGAGCCTCAGTTCTCCTCCAAGAGCGAATGAGGCAACACCGAGCCAGCCAGCTTTCCCTCTGGAGGGAAATTAGCTTCAGCCGCCTCCCACAGTTCTACCTGACACCTCCCGGCCTGCACCCCTGCCTGCATCAGGCACTTCCTGCCCACTGCTCAGTCCCTTTGGAGAATGCCTGCCCCAGCCCTCATGTGCACAACCACTAAATCTTCCCCTTCAAAGCATTCCTCAGACCTCCTCCTCCTCCTCCAGACAGCCAGATCTACCAGAGTAGATCCCCTAGCAACGGCAACACACGTTTCTTGTCTGTTCTCAGAACTGAGGCTTCTTGCAGATCCCGGGTCTCATCCTCCCGTTTTTCCAACAGTGCACCCAACACGGTCACAGACGAATGGGCCGAGGATGCAAAGCTTGGCTAAATGACAAGCAGCCCTTCTCACACCCCCTCTCCCACAAGGCATAGAGGCTGTGTTGAAGAACAACAGGTGAAGCTCTTGCCTGGTTTGCCCTGAAAAACCCCACCAGCCCCAGCCCAGCTTCTTGCCCTCCCCTCCCCCAACTCCATTTCTTAACCAGGGAAGGACAGGTGGCAGAAAGCTGGCTTGGCGGGAGGCTGGTTTCTATTGGGAATGTACCTCAGCATCTCAGCTATTTCCATAAACCAATTATCACTGATCATCTCAGGAGATTGAGGCCCTGTTTGTCACCAATCCAGCCTGGGCTGTGGAGGGGAGGGTAACTGGATGACTGTGATGCTCCAAGACCCCTGCACCCATCACCCTGTTGCCATAGGAACACACAAGGAAGGGGGGTCTAGGGAACATGAGCCTGGATGGGAGTGTAAAGAGCTGAGAACCTCCTAGTCCCTCTGACCCTATGGCACAGCATGTAGGGTGGAAAGTGGGAGGCGTGCATCCCTACTCCCCTTTTCATGATGGGAGCAGGGCCTGTGCCAGGCTACAGCCTGGTCCCAGAGCTCCAGGCTGAGCTGCCAGCAACTCCAAGTGGTGCTAATGAGATGCAAATGGAAAGGAGAAGGGAGGGAATTGGGAATGAAGGCCCAGCTGCCAGGACCCAGAGATGGCTTTCAGTGCTAACCCCAGCCCCAGGTAGGAATTGCAGAGGGAGAACCAAGAGCTCCCCCAAACCCTAGAGCTGGGCCCTAGACCCTGGGAAGAATTTGATGTCTTCCCACATCTGACTACAATACAAAACAACAAAGTATGCAATAAGAAAGTCCACTAAAGGCTTTTCTCATATGGATATTTCAATGTATGTTTTTTTTAATTATAAACATTTGAATGTAAAATCCGAAACTGTTAAAATCTAGAAGTAAACAGTTTTCCCCAGGATCCTTACATTGGTCTTGGCAATGATTTTTTTTTTAATTTGACATCAAAAGTATAAGCAACAAAAGCAAAATAAACAAGTGGGTGACAAGAACTGAAAAGCTGTGTCGCAAAGGAAAAACCACCACTGACTTAAAGAAGCAGAATGGTCTAAAACATGTGCACACCACACAGCTAATGAGCAGTCAATGCCCAGAGCATATGGAGCCCTCACACACCCCGGTACCAGAAAACCAACTTGATTTAAAAAGGGCCCTGCTATGATAGCACACGCCTTTGATCCCAGCTACCAGGAGGCAGAGGCAGGCAGATCTCAGGGAGCTCAGGCCAGCCTGGTCTACAAAGTGAGTTCCACAACAGCCAGGGATACACAGTGAGACCCCTTCTCAAAGCAAACAAACAACAATAAAAATCCAAAGAAAGAAAAACAGGCAAAGAGGGCTGGAAGTATAGCTCTGTGGTAGCATGCTTGCCTAACATATACCAAGCCCTGAGTACTGCACCACATAAAGCTAGCATGATGGCACACACCTGTAATGTCAGCACTTGGCCACTGAGGAAGATCACAAGTTCAAGGTCATCATCCTTGACTACACAGTAAATTCAAGGCTAGCCCACACTTCATGAAACTGTTTCAAAACAAAACAAAACAAAAAACAAAACAAAACAAAAAAAACATACAATTGGTGACAGGTGTAAGAAAAGGTGCTCAGTACTACTAATGACCACAGACATCCAAACCAGAACCTGTAGGCCATCCCCACCCACACCTGTTAAGTTGGCTGTTATCAGGAAGACAAGAAGTAACCAGCACTGGGACCCTTGAGATGACTCGGAAGGTAAAATTTTTCATCACCAATTCTGACGGCCTGAGTTCAATCCTGGAACCCGCATGTAGGAGAGAACTGATTCCCACAAGTTGTTCTCTGACCACACATCCATCACAGCACCTGTGCGGCTCCACCCCACGAACACTCAGATACACAAAATTAATTAAGTGCAACAAAAATTGCAGATATTGGTGAGGGTGTGGGAAGAAGGGAATCTCTCTACACTATGACTAGAAAGGCAAATTCATACAGTGGAAAACACTGTGGAAGCTCCTCAAATGTTAAAAATAGGATCCGTATAGAACCATCAATTCTACATCTGTGTACATTTCCAAAGGAAATGAAGTCAGCATCGTAAAGCAGTATCTGCATCTCTGTATTGTTATAGCATCATCACATGAAGATATAGGATGAACTTAAACATCTACCCATCAATGACTGGGGAAATGACACACACACATGTCATAGGTAACTTCCTCTAACAGGGAAGACATAATGCTAAGTGAAATAAGCCAGGCACAGAAAGACCAATACCACATTATTTCTTTTAATGTGGAATCTCACTGAACTCACAAAACAGAGAGTAAAGGAGTAGTGCCAGGGTCTAGGGATGGAGAAAACAGATGTCAGTCGGAGGGCCCAAACATCCATTTATAAGGTGAATCTACTATACAGTACGGCAACTGTAGTTAATATTATATTGTAGACTTTAAATGTGTTGAGTCTTAAGCATTCCCACCACATACACACAAAAGGACAGCTGTGAAGGGGTGGATGTGTTAGCTTGATTACATGGTATCACTCATAGTAGGTAAGTATGTCAAATCCTGGTGTACACGTCTAATATATATTATTTTTACTTTTCAATTATACCTAAATAAGACCAGAATACATACATACATACATACATACATACATACATACATACATACATATGCATATATATATATATGCATGTATAACTTCTTACTCTAAGCATTTTACCATGTTTTCTGGTGTCCTGAGTCTAGTCATCCAACTTGGCATACTGTGCTCTGCCTGCCCATCCTGGTCCTCCTCAGACCAGGGTGGGGATCCTAAGGTTCTTGTCTCAAATTCTTTCTGTCATCTTTGGCTTTATTGCTTTCCCAGCAGGCAGGTTTATAGTTGAGGTGGTTAGGGTGGGGCATGAAGTCCCAAACTACTCACTCATCTGTTTCATTATCAGGAGCTTCAAAGGGTTCAGGCCACCTCATCCCTCTGCAGACACTAGCCCCAGCCAGTCCAGTCACACAGCTGTCTAGTCCAACAGGTCCAGTGGCTTGTTTTATGGTTCTACCAGTCTCTATTCAAGCTGCCCTCCAATCCCACCTGCTACCACATAGCAACAATTCTCTCTTGAGTCCCTTGTGAGCACTGCACCTCAACTACATCCAAGGGACACCTCATCTGTGGGCACTGCACCTCAACTACATCCAAGGGTCATCTCATCTGTGGGCACTGCACCT